AACCCAATACTTTCATGAGCATTAATAACTCAATGTGTCCATATAACAATTCTATAAATTAGATATGACATACACTGTTTACTAAGACTGAGAGGGGTTAATGACTAAGTGACTTGCCCAATGTCACACAGTCAGGAAGTAAAGAACCGAAAAAGGTCTTCCAACTTCAATATATTTTCTCTCCACTATACTAAAATGCCTCTATTATGTTCAAAAAAATTAATGAATGAATAAACATCATGAGCAAAGGTTGCATTATTCTATTTTCTGGAAAGAGAAAATAGTCACAAATCCATAGACCTTTTCCTTTTAGGTGCAGCTGCCATGGCAGTGGGTTATAATTAACTTAGCTACCTCTGTTTTAAATGTTGGGGATGTTATCTTTCTTCTAGTTTTATTTATCTGCAGATTCATTTTAATATTTTGTTCTGAAAATTTTCAAATGCTCAATGTTAAATTATGAAAACATACAATGCATATACCATTTTTAAGTACAGGGTAATTACTAACACATGAATGTATCGTTTTGACATTATTTGTTTATAAATAGGTTAAGAGCAAGTGCCCTTAATGTCTTTAAAGTCTTCAGTGTTATAGCCAATGCCTAGCAGATTGTCTCACTCACGGTAAAAACTCAACAAATGTTTGCTGAACTGTACCCTCAAAAAATCCTATGAAGGACCTATACTAGCCTGAAGATATTTTGAAAAGTCTTCTTTTATTCTCAGAATCCCAAGGGGACTGTCAAATGTGGTTAAGAAAACGTATCTGTAAAAGTATCAAATATGTAAAGTGTTCATTATCATATAACAAACGTTTAAGGTTTCTAAAATAAACAAAATGTATCCTATATACAATCCAGTTTAGCAAAATACAATCTAGAAATAATTCATAATTAAATAAATAATTCATCATTAAATTATATGAATATTTGATGAATGCCTCTAGAATACAGGCTCATCAGGGCAAGGAATTTGTTACATTCACCACTGTATTTCTAGGCTCTAGTTAGTACACAGTTAAGTGCTCAATAAATATTTGTTGAATTATTAAATTAACAAATAAACAGAGAAATGAGGATTACACCACGAGCAGAAACTTCAAACATACATAAAAAATGGATTCCTGAAAATTAAATAGAAATACATTTCCCAGAGCAAATGAGGGCAGAATCTGTAATACATAAAACTGTGATATACTGAAAGGGAAGCAGATTTGGGTGGGGGAAGATTAGTTTGGTTTTGGTTTTGGAAATGTTGAGCTTGAGAAGCCTACGGGAGAGTCCAGTGGAAATACACCGTAGGCATGACTGGGTCTGGGGCCCAGAAGAGAGTCAGGGTTGGCCATATATGCTTGGGAATCACCAGCATACAGGGAGAGAGTGCAGCATAAAAAGAGGAGAGTACCTAGAACTGAGCTGTGAAGAACCTAGGATTGAGTACCTAGGATTGAAGTGTCAGGCAGAAGAGGAAAAACCTATAAGACAGAGAGAGAAGGGAAGTCAGAGGAGTGTCCCAGGAGCCAAGGAGAGGGGCCATTTCCAGCTCAACACTAAGTAGTGAAGCAAGATAAGGACTAAAAAGCATCTAAAATTCAAGTCCATTGTGACCTTCGCAAGAACCATTTTGGTCACTTGGTAAGGGATGCAGGTCAAGTTAGAGTAGACTAAGAAATGACAGACATATAAGTCAAGGGAGTGCGTAAACAAATATTGACAAAGAACAACAACAGGACAATAACTAGAAGGGAATATGGGATCCTGAGGTTTCCTTTTTATCTATGTGTTTATCCGTCAGTCCATCCATTTGTCTCTCCATTAAAAATATTTTAAGACAGGAGAGACTAGGTATGCTTAAATGGTCCAAGAGAAAGAAAAAGAGGTTAAAAAGGAGAGAGGTCAGTTAGAGGTAGAGATATATAATATAATCTCTCTATATAAACTGGAATCCAAGGAAGAATCTCCTTAAACTGGAGTTTAAACTGAAAACCAAGGAGGTAGAGTAGGGATGGACAAGAAACTCATTCCAAGATGATGTTTCAATATAACTGAGATGGGCTGAGAAATGAAACTCAAAAGAAATGCCAGCTAATCAAAACAGAAATGGTTTGTTTGATGGAAATATTTTTAAGGTGTAAAGAGTGTAGGCAGGAAACCTTGCTAAGCAGGTGCTGGGTGGAATCAGGCAGCAAAGGACCGTTAGATCAAGTTGTAGGGGGCTCAGAAAAGCTTCCAGAGCTCTGGGAATTAAACCGGAAGCCTGGCATGGCAGTATGTTCTCTAAGGCTAAGAGCTGGTAGTCTTAAGGGTAAAAGAGAGATGAAACTGTGAAGCTTAATAGCACATGACAATAACACATAACTGTATTAAATGCAGCTAGACTGTATTCAGTGAATAGTAAGGGAATCTATAAATCACCTCTCCACTTCAGATTGAATCCGTATTTCATTTTTACACCTACACAACTAGGTGCCCCAAGTTATGGTCTCCAATGAGAACTGCCTTCATTCCCTCGAGGAGTGGCTGTTGACATGACAAGTCTCTCTTGTGAGGAGTGACCTGGCTGATTTAGTCACACAGCATACCTGACTAATTTGTATTAAAACCCAACTCTGACCCATGTTTGAGTTTTGTTTTGTTTTTTTTGGTTTCTAACATTTTTCTGTTCCTCAGGGCCAATGTCTGCTGAATGATCACTCACACGTGCCCATAAATATAGGATTCACAAGATGATTCTTTCATGTTGTATTACCAGAACCTAGCCTAGCATCTAGCAGGCAGAAGGCCCTCAACAAACACTGATGGAGTGAATGGGCAAATCTATGAAAGGGTCCACGGAGAGAGGAAAGGTGATCACCAAATCTTTCCATGCAGGGGTCTTTTACATGCCAAGGACCCTTTGACAGGCTGTTGAAGTCAACAGATCCCTTCACAGAATCCTGTTTTTAAATACACAGTATAACATAGGAAACTAATTATATTGAAATATACTGAAATAAAAACATAAAAAGAAATTGTGACATCATCCAAGCATGCTTCTGAGGCATAGGCTGGGCCTGTCATGTCGCAGGCATCTATCTCTGTAGGGAGACCTGGCGGGGTCAGTTCACTGGCAAAACCAGCTGGCAGCAGCTGCAGATGTTCTGTTCTCAGTTTCTCAGGGAGGAATCCTGCAAACTCCTGTCTAGGAAGCCACTGTTCTCAGAGTGAAGTGGCAGAAAGAGGCCATGGGAGTTCCACAGTTCAGGGTGCCAATTTCCCTCTGCCTCACTAGTTTCCATATGGAGTCCTCACCCTCAGCTGTGCCCATCGCCCCAGCACCCACAGCCAGTCTATTTAACCTTTTCGGTCTTTCATGAGGGTGAGAGGAAGGCATGGCTGCCTACGTGAAGGGATCAGACATGGGATCTGGGGGCTACCTATTTCTTACACAACCAATCCTCCTGTGTCGTGTATCACCTGCACCCCTACTTTGGGGAATACCTGGTACCCCTATTCCTGAGCCTTTCTGGGGGGTCAGAGGTGGAAATTAGCCTGCTTTGGGGCTTCGCGCATTATTGGCTTAGGATTCAATTGTGATCAAGGATGCTGTTTTAAATGGAAAACCAAGGAGGTAGAATAGAAATGGACAAAAAGGGAACTCAATCCAAGAAAAAAGATATTTCAATATAAGTGAATATCAGTTACAACTAGTATTTCTGCTGTTCATCTTCCAAAATCTGGTTGCTGTTTTCTTCTCTCCCTTTTGAGTGTATGCCTATTTTATTCCTTTACTTTTACTTGTAATGGGGATAAGTGAGGCGGCAACTATAAACATATTTAATCAGTCACATTTTACTGAAGTTGCAACTAAAATTTTTACAAAGGAGAAAAAGTATTAAAAATCCAACTTTGAAGTAAATTCCCCCAAAATTCATCTAATCTATAACTATAATTTTTCTATCAAAAATATCAATATATTGTTATAACCACAGCTTCATGAAGGCAGACACCATTTCCATTTTATTCATCATATTATCCAGTACCGAGAATAATAGAGGTTGCTGAAAAATATGTATTGAATAAGTAAAACGAATGAATATAGATATGATAAAAAATTGGGAGCTTTAGTTTTTATAATTTCAGCACTTGTGTAATTCACCTAGGACTGCTTTGGCAATGTTCCGAAAAGCAAACAATTAGAAATAGATATACCTAATTTGGAACCCAAGAATGATGTTTTAGAGCAAAGTCCTTTAGTACAAAAATTTTACTATGATTCTGTATTCTATACCAATAATTTCTTGGGTAGCAATGAATTGGCATTCATATTTACTTAGTTATCTTGAATAACTATTATGATAAAAACATAATTTTTATTACAACTGCTACATAATAGTATTTAATTACAACTAATAGGTGTACAATTTTAAATGTTTTAAATGTATTTGTAATATTAAACAAGATCTAATCAATACTAAAAATGCAAAGTCCTCCATATTTAAATCTGCACATTAGCTATTGCATTTTAGACCGTGTCAGCAAATAAACCAGCAAGATTATTAAAGAATTAAGTTTAATAAGTTCTTGTCATTCTGTCAAGTGAATTCAAAGGACCATCACAACATGACATGTCCTAATTACTAATTATAATGTAAACTGTATGTGCATTATTTTGTCATTCTCTATGGCTACCACCTAAGCCGTAATTCTCCTAAAGGCCCCAAAGGGTTATTTAAATTTTTCAGTCATATTTTATGGGGCAACTGAAATGTTTTATTGTAAACTGAGGAATTCTGATGTATTCACCAAAGGTGTACTGCAATCCTAACAGGATGGCTCCATGGTCATTTTAAACTAAAAATCTTTACAGTCATTCATGCCAAATATTCCTCTAGACAAACCTGCACAAAAGTCCATAATCCACATGGCACTATCCTGTTAAATGCTTATTATGTAGCTATTTTTTCATCATTGCTTATGTTCTGTTATTACTAACTTTAAATTAAAATATAATACTCACTTCATCAGCCACAAACTCCTTACTCAGACCAAAATCTGTCAGCACCACATGGCCATTAGAATCAAGTAGAATATTCTCAAGCTTAATGTCACGGTATATAATCCCCAACTGCAAAAACAAATAAATATGCATTTGAAAATAACAATTTCCAAAAAAATAGATTAGGAGAGTCTTTCTTGTCTACCTTAAAAATAAAGCCCCAAAAGGCACTGTCCTGTCAGGGTGCTATAATGGGTCTTACTCCCTGGCCAGGGCCAATGTAAACTCCTCATCTCGGGGCTCATGTGCTCGGATCCCTCCAACCAGGTCTTCATTCTCTACGGCATGAGGGTCCGTTCCTGTTAGCCCCGCCTCTGTAGGCCTCCTCCTGTCTCTCTTCTTTTTCAGAGACTCCATCCTCACCCAGACGATCTGCAGGTGCTTCCTTAGCAAGTTCATGTCCATCACGTCCCTAATGGCTTCAGATGGCTTTCCAGACTAACCAGGTCCCACAATGGTCATTTCTTTGTCTTGACTCCTTTGTCTTGGCACCTATATTGACATTGTACTTACCTAAAAAGAACTGATATTTTCTAAGTATTTCCTGTTTGTTTTGATACAACCATACCCCAATGCTGTTTTTTCACTTTTTATGTATTTATCTAGTATCTAACACAATGTCAAATGTCAAATAGGTAATTAATAGGTTTCTAAACATAAAATTTGAAGATCATAGGTTAATTTTGGGTGATCTTTAGTTCTAAATAAGCAAAGCAAGTCAATTAGATAATATTTACATAGCCCTCCATTTTGTTTTGCATGTAAGTTTTATAGTAAAACATTTCAGGTATATAACATAAATCTACCCAAGTCATATAAGAAGTGCTTGGTATATGTGAATTCCATGTTTCATGTTATGTCAGCCTGAATTAAAAGTTCTTAAATTTAGAAACACTGCTTTCCTCAACACTACATATATGAAAAAACAGATTCTTAATACTCTTTTAAAATTGAAATTAAAATTTTTTTACTGAAAGAAATGCTAGGCAATTTCTCCCCAAGAACCTCGGTGTTCTACAAGAAACTGAGGAAGGAAACATCTACTGTCCATTGAACAGATATTTGACTTGAAGCCTTACAAGCATCTAACCAGTACAACTTTTCTGTCTAACAATCTCTTTGGAAAAGATTTTAGGAACAAATCATTTACTATCTGTTTCACCTCATCACTTGCAAATAAACTCCCATTTTTGTCTCTTCCAGGGAAACTCAGGGTTAGTAGCTATATCTAGATTAACAAAACTGGCTTTGTGTTGTAATTCTTTGTATTTATCTTTTTCGGGTAGTGAGGTTGAGAGAAACTTAGCTGAGATCTGATTTGCTATATTACTCTCACTCCATGTCAATTACATTTATACCCAGTATTCATCGTGCTCTCTACTTCTGTTTCTGATTACCCTGTTTTAATAATAATGAATGTTCATGGATTTTCCTTTAATAAACAGAATTAAAGCTTTCGCACAAATTAAAAACTGAATTTACTAAGCTCTCCCGTTGGAGCTTTGTATTTTGTTAGTTTTTACTCTGGAATTTATGGTGATTTCCACCATCATTTTTATATTATAAAAAGTTACACCTAATACCCCTCAACATAAAATGCAAAGATCTTTTCAGCCTATTCGTGGGCCCAATTTGGCTCATGTATAAAGATGTCCTAACTATTTTATATTCCCAAAATGGCCATAAGCATAAAGCTTGTCACCATACTGACAATTCTCTCAAAAGGAACACAGATGTCTGTTCCGTCCCCTCCGTTCAGCTCCTAGCTTAGTTATTGCTCCTCTTTTGTTTTTCTCTCCATGGCATTGCAGCCCTGCCACCCAGGGCCTTTTCTCCTTCCCTCCTGTTCTTGTACATTTTTCATTCACTTCTCTTCAGATTCCTGTTCTGAACCCCATCTCCCTCCCCTGCCCAGTCTCATTTCTGCTCTGGGCCAGATCTACCCATTTCTTGATCCCTTCCTTCTTTTTTTATATCGTCTCATCATTTTATCTCACAGCCTCTCCCATCCATTGCCTCCATCTTGCAACTCTAGTCTCCTGCCCCTTTGATTAAAAATGTCATCCTAGGGCCGGCCGAGTGGCTCAGTTGGTTAAGAGCTTGCTCAAGAGTTTGAGCTCTGAGCAACACCGGTTCGATGCCCGGTCCGAGCTGAGCAGCGGCTGAGCTGCCCACAGGTGGCAGGATGGCTCAGCTTAAAAAAAAAAAAATGTCATCCTTCTTCCTGCCTTTTTCCTTCATTCCTCTCCATTCTTTTCTAGGCTCCATAATCAGCACTTTAATCTGTTCCTCTGTAATTGAGGGTAGGATCTGAATACATGACAGAGAAGAACAGTGGCTTTATGATGTACCTGCATCGTCCCACTTTAGGGACTCAAGCCAAGCTGGTCTCCTTACAGTCTCACACCCCTTGGTGAAAATTACCCAAATACAAACCTCGTTTACATAATGACTGTTTGCTTCTACAATAATGCTTCCTCAATACGTGTAAAAAAAAAAGTGTTTTTAGTCAAAGTTTCTTGGATTAAGGTTAGTAGTATCTGAAACAGTATTTTTAAAAAGTTTAAACTCATCTTATAGAGTTCAAACAGCATTACAGACATGAATTCCACTTGAAGTTTTCAGTATCTGAGTTCATCTTCATGGAAGCAATGGAGGAGGAGAGAGGCAGAGGGCCTAAGAGAGGGCCGTGGGGACAAAACGAATGGAAAAGAAAGCCAGAGGGGGAAAGCTGGGTAGCTTAGGTAGATACTTCTTTCAAATAACTCAGGTTCTCCAACTGAATCAGGAACTATACCCTGAAGACGTACGGCAGAGTCTACAATGGAGTAAGTCACAATTAAGGAAATATATATTACGGCTTGTGGTTTCGTCTTAAAGTTCATTTTAAGAATCAAAATGTTTATTCTGATGCTACTTTGTAATAAGCATTCGGATTTTTCATGAACAAAACCAAAAAACTGCTCAGGTTCTGCCTTTTAAATCTGCATCACAGGAACTACAAAAGGAAAGGAGATTTTTTAAATGGGAACTAGGAATTTGAGAAACCTGGTTAGTGGTTTACAAGTGGGCTTTTACAATCTCCACAAAGGCACTGACACATAAAAACATTCGTGCTTTTAGCTCCACCATTACTTCTGTTAATAGATTTTTCAAAACCGGAAATCCCAAAGGTTAAGCGTCTTACCTTGTGGAGATGTTCAAGGGCGAGCACAATCTCTCCAACATAGATCTGCACCTCACGCTCTGTGAAACGCTCTCTTTGAGAAAGATGAGTAAAAAGTTCTCCACCATTTATATAATCTAAAAATGAAATATATTTTTTCTTTCTTTGACTTGTATTCATAAATTAAAGGAAGTATTTCCTTTTAATCACTTTGGATTAACCATAAGGCACGGATTTTAATATATGATTTTTCTGTACAAGTCTTAGTACATAGTTTCATATGGATTACTAAATGCATATAGTAATACAGTTTCATAAAATAATGACTACCCTACACTGCACGCAAATGAATTTGCACAGAGTACTGCCATTAAAACTATTATATGAAATCCGCATATATTTAAATACAGTTTCCCAAATACAGTATATCAGAAACCTCCGCCATCGCCATACGATACTTAGCTTGCTGTGGGGTACCAAAACATCAACCGCTACAATAACAAAAATAAAAAATGAACAGAACAAAACGAAACACAAAAATCCCAGCCTTTCCTGTGTTAATAGTTGCCAGTCACTATTTTGAATCAGATTCCCTATTTTCCAGAATTTTCTAGGCACCCTTCCACAAATGTATAATTAGGTAACAGGTAGCCCTCTTACTGCTCCTCAGAGCCACAAAGTCACAGTAGCACAACATGGCCGAATCGACAGCCCTGAAACTAAAACACTCCCATTTCCCTTTCAATTTGCCCTATTTATTCTGAGAGGAATCATGAAATAAGAGACAAAAAGACTACAGTGAGAAATAAGTGAGGGGGCTGAATAATGATGATAAAAACCACAGCACAATTATGTTCATAATTGGCTCTAACAAGATATTTACTGGTAAACTCATGATCGTTCCACCAGAAACTAAGCTCTGCTACCTTAACACACATTTGTGAGTGAGAAACAAAGTATACTTAGAAAATAGTCACAAATACAGTTTAAAGCTTTCCTCCTAAAAAAATCTGAAAAGCATGTATCCCAAGAATTCTCATTTGTTGAGTTCACAACTTGATAAAATAACGAAGCAAAATCTTCACGAACCCACAAATTTTTGTTTTATCTTGGCCATTTAACTTCTAAATTCCAAAATGCAGATGCAACAGAATAAAAGAACTCTTAATAGCTGGTTGTTTTGCAATATATTTTACAAAGCACATGCCAGCAAAAAGCATTGTCCTTCTAAGGCTTCTGTATTTTGCCAAGGAGTTTTAATTCTATCTTAACACAAAACTAACTATTGAAAAGGTGTAAAGTAACACAGCATTCCTGCAAACTATTAAAACAATGAATTTTTTTCTACCTTTAAATAGCTGTTTACTTACATCTAATACTGATATTTTTGCATAAATGGTTTCCATAGTCAGTCATGACACAGAAATAGGCACCCATAAGTCAGCTGACCAACTGACAAACTCCTATACATCCTTGAATGTCCTACTCAATTATTTCATCTTCAATAATCACTCCAGCAGAGTTGATCACTTCCTTTTATCTTTATCATTACACTTATTACGGTCTTCTACCACTGCAATTATCTTACTGTATTAAAAATGTTTATTTGTATGCTTGCTTTTCCTGCTAAACCTCTAAGCTTTTTGAAGTTAGGAGCAATGTATTCATCTGTACAAACCCAACATAGTGCCTGCATGCAGTAAGCACTGATAGATGATTATTACATCCTTAATTAAACACAAATTCTTTATATTGGAATAAATATTAAGAGTCTCTGAAAAAAATTACTCCGAAACTCAAAGGCAAGTGTGTTGTGAAAAAAATCTAATGTACTCCTGTCTCTGAGGCCACTGGATAGAGTCCAAAGGACCTGCCTGGGCTTTGTAATCAATAGACCTGGACTGGACAATGGCTCCACTGTGTCCTGTCTTGAGCAAATTAAGTCGCTCTCAGGTTCAGTTCTTTACTTATACAATGGGAATAACTGCTATATATTATTATAATTATTGTTCTTACTGCAGCTTTCCCCATCTCAGGTCATATCAACTCCATCTCTTCAGGTGCTCAGGTACATTTTAATCACTTTAATAAATTTCACTTTATTTTTTCAAGTTATTTTCGTACTGGTTGCCTCTAAGGCTTACCATATACACATTAACTTATCAGAAACAGCTTTGGATTTATACCAACTCAATTTCGGTGATGTTTAAAACATTACCCCCATGTAGTTCTATTCTCTCTTCCTCCCTTTGTGCTATTTTTGTTACACATAGTACAACTATGTATGTTTTACTGTTCTTTCTTCCTTTCCTTTCCCTTTCTTTCTTTCTTTCTTTCTTTCTTTCTCTCTTTCTTTCTTTCTTTTTCTTTCATTCATTCATTCATTCATTCATTCATTCATTCATTCATTCATAACTTGGCTTGACTATTCTTTTTTTTTTTTTTTAGCTGAACCATCCTGCCACCTGTTGCCAGCTCAGCTCGGGCCGGCCCAGCTTGACTATTCTCTTGACTACTAGTAAGGTCTGCTTCATCTGCAGCATGAGCCTTCCACATTGCGCCTCAGAGGGCACAGCCTAGGGCATTCCCACTGTGGTTCAGGCAGGGCTCTTTTTGACTCTTTCCCTGATCCTTTAGGCTGTCTGCCTTTCTGCTGATGTAACACCCAACTGTCAGGCTCCACTAATTGCTGGCTGATTATGCATTATTTTTTATTATACCCTAGGGCCTAAATTACTCCAGAGTCCCATCTAATAAATTCAGGCTCCTTCAAGGCTAGTTTTTGAGGCCACTATTTGAGGTTTGTTCTGACCTCAGAAGAGTGCTTCACAGTTGACTCTGGTACTCTGGCAAACCAGCTATCCATCTCAAATTAATATTCAGGTACAGAGCAAAGTAAAGGTTGAGATCCACTTCTTTCCATACAGGCATCCACTTGTTCCAGCACTATCTGACTTCCCCATTGAATTGCTTTGTCACATTTGTCAAAAACCAAATGACCACATAAGTGTACATTTCTGGAGTCCTTATTTCACATTCATTCTTCTTCTTTAAGAATGGATGGGTTGGGTGACCAGTTAGCTCAGTTAGTTAGAGCATGGTGCTAATAACACCAAGGTTGCCGGTTTGATACCCACATGGGCCACTGTGAGCTGCGTCCTCCTTAACAGAGTCAACTATGCCATTGTAGCATGAAAGCAATGTGTAACAATGACCATGGCTTTTTTTTTTTTGTTCCCCAATAAAATTAAAACAAACAAATACAATAGTAGTATTCATTAAAAAAAAAAAGACTGGTACAATTCTAGTACCTTTGTTTTTAGATAGGAATTCTAGAGTTAACTTATAAAAAGGTCTGCTTGGATTTTGATTTTGACAGTTTTGTGTCTATACAGTTCAATTTAGGGAGAACTCTCATGTTCACAATATTGAGTATTCCAATCCATGAATAGGTATATCTATTAATCAGGTTTTCTTAAATTTCTCTCAGCAATGTATCATACTTTACAGAGTAAATTTATTCTTAAGTATTTTAGGTTAAAAAAAATCATACTGTAAAGGATATTTTAAAATGTCACTTTCTAGTTATATATTTTATATATGCTAGTATATAAAAATACAGCTTTAAAAAAAATTTTTATTCCAAAACAATTACAAATGTACAGAAAAGTGGTAAGTATATACATAGAACTTTTTTCATGAACCATCTAAGTTGCCAACTCAATATCCCATCACTCATGTTTGCTTACTTTCATTTGTATTTCATACCTCAACATAATCATTTAAAAATCAAGAAATTAACATGAATATATTATTACCATCTAATCCTCAATCCTAAATTCAAGTTTCCCTAGTTGTTCACAAAATATCTTTTATAGCGAAAGGTTCTGGCTCAGAATCAAATGTTAACTTCAGTTCATATAGCTATTTCCTTCAATCTGTAATAGTTCCTCAATCTTCCCTGACTTTCATAACCTTGACACTTCTGAAGAGCACAGGCTTGGTATTTTGTAGACGGTCCCACAATTTGAGTGTCTGATCTTCCTCCATGATCATACTCAGGTGAGCATCACTGCGAGGAAAACCACGGAAGTGACACTGTTCTTGGTGCCATCCTCTCAGGTGCTCCTCTACTGTAAAGTTACCTATTTCGCCTTTGTAATTACTAAGTAATTTTTGAGAAGAACTTAGAAACTATGGACTATCCCAATCCACATCAAACATTCCATTTATTTACATCTGAATGAACTCACAGTGTCCTATTTTACTTAGTGGGTTAAAATTCACTACTATTATTTATTTTTGATTCTGAGAATGTGGTTCTCTCTCCTCAGGCATGGCTCTTCCAGAATTTGAAGAAAATCCTGTGGTGTTTACCAAGTCCCTGTACCTTGTGAGGAACTGAGCTCCAAACTCTGTCTCCCCTGAGGTGGGAGCTGCTGAAATCTTTATTTGGCACTTCCAGCTACTGGCTATTTCGATTCTCGCCCCACACATTCACTGTTGAGAAGTCGGTCGAGGTACGCGGATTTTTGAACTTGACTTCACCTTTGTTTCCCTTCTTTCCAGAATCCCATTCCCCACAATTTGCAGCCACTCTGTTAGCAACTCAAACTTCTGACTCCTCAGCCTTGTAAGACTGTCACTTCTGGATTACATTTTGACTTCTTATTTTGCATATCTTTGGAAAGAAATATTTCCAGTAGTTAAGAACAAAGGTCTCTGATATCAGAAAGTGCAAGAATCTTAGCTATACCATTTATCAGTTGTGTGACTTTGAGCAAGTTGCTTAATCTCTTTGAATCTAAAACCATATTTACAAGAAAAAAGAACAATATATTTTCTTAGGGTTTGTTCACTTCATTCAATAGATATTTGGACCTTTATTATATACCAGTCACTCTTCTGGGTACTGCCCACATAGCACCGAACAGACAATAATCTCCATCCTAGTGCAGATTATGTTCCAGTGGGAAGAGAGAAATATAAATAAATTAGATATTATTAATATGTTGGAAGATGATGATTGTGATGGAAAAAATAGCACAGCTAAAGGCAGATAGGGAGTGCCAGGGTAGAGGTGAGGATGGCATCTTAATAAGGGTGGTCAGTGTATGTCTCACCACGGTGACTTCTG